GCTGCCCGGTGCAGAGAGTTCCTCTCGAGCAGGCTGAGCCAGGAGTGGGGGGGGTACGGAAAAGAGGAGGGGGCTGTGTTGTTTGTTTTTAAACGGAAGTGTGCGCATGCGCCGTTGGGTGCTTGTGTGCATCCCGTGGAGACTTGGGAAAAAAACACCTTTTAGCAACAGGACGTGGGCGGGTGTGGATGCCACGACCTACCACCAGAAACGCGATCAGGCGCCTTTCCTTGCCCCGCGGTTTTTGGAAACTAGTACCTCGGAGGTACTAGTTTTTTACCCCGCATCTTCGGTGGGAAGCCTCGGGTTCGCCACGGGAGCTCTACACTTCCCAGATGTGGCGCTGTGATCACGCCTGGAAAATCCGCCTATTTTCCGTCTTTGTAGTGTGGCTAATGCTCCGTGTGACCGCAGCCATAGTAGTGCTTGTCAGTTGGAATTTGCTAGCCAAAATTTGGCTGCATGCCTCTAGTTCAGTGGTCCCTACTTGAGCCAGTGGGCAACTTTGGAATACTGGAAAGGGTGGTGACGCAACCACAAAATGGCCACCACAGAAGGAACACACACACAAAGGAAGCCCAAGTGCAGTGGACAAGAGGAGTAGTTTTAAACAAACACGCTGGGAAAGAGGAGAGAGAGAATAAAACCAACACTGTGGCGACAGCTGCTGCTGGAACAACATTATTTTCATTTGCACAGCAATCAGATCTCCAATGGCCAATCAGATGCCCTGCTGGGCAGGAGCCCCACCTAGTCATGATGGCTTTCTAAAAATGCTTGGCGGGCACCAGGAGGAAAGGTGTCGGGGGGTGCCTTGGCAATCGTAGGCACCACACTGAGGACCCCTGCTTTAGTTCATAATGTAGAAGGCTTTCTTAACCCTCACAGTGAACACTGAAATTCAGGAAAGTTCTGTGTGTACAATATATATAATATGTACAGCAAATATGGTTTAGCTTGTAGCACTGAGCCTCATACAGAGAGTTGGGGTCATGTGTCTTTTAAAGTTCTTTAACATTATGAATTGCATATTTTGCATATCTGCCCACCCACACAAACACACAACTGCTTTCCAACTTTGAAAAGCTCATCTTGGTGTAGGAACACTGGCATGCACAATGATTAACATCTGACACACATTCTGTTAAGACAACATCCCATGAAAGGAAGCTCATACCAGAACTTTGGTCCTATTAATCAGCTGTATGAAAAGCAAGAAGTCACATGACAACTTGAAGATTAATGTATTGCATCATGAGCTTTCATAAACCTGAGAGCACTTCACCAAATGCAATAAAGTAATGCAGAGATAAGAAAAAAAATCCATTTATTTTGTCAACCTTTATTGACAGCTTTGTATTGTTATTTTAGTGCACCAAGAGAAAAATCTCAGAAGGCTATTCAGGATGAAATTAAATCTGTTATCAGACAAATAACAGCTACAGTGACATTTCTTCCATTGTTAGAAACTACTTGTAAGTATTTTCTCATTTCATGCTTCTGACATACCAAATATCTTTGGGGGCTTGTTCATGGCTATAAAGCAAGGGAAATAGGTATTGCAGCTTGGCGTCTTTTCCACATATTTGCAGGTACTTATAAACTAGCTGCTTTAAAGCAGGCTCTCAACAAAGACTTATGCAAAAAAGTAAATCATTGATCTGTATTGGAAGCACTACAATTTAACTCATTCATAGCTTATCAGCACAGAGGTGAACAATGAGGTAGCCAAGTCTGAAAGTGACACCATGTTATTCTGGAAGGATAAATCCAAGCACATTCCAGAAGCTTCAGGGAGGATCTCAAACTGTTTGACAGGTGGTCTGAAAACAATATGCCAGTGCTGCCACTGAATTCCCGTGAACAGTTGGTTTACAGTTTAAAACATGGGATGAAAGGAGGTTACTGAACTCTGACATACTTATTTAAATACTTATATTTTATTACAAAATACCAATAACGTCCAAAGCAAGTAAGTGCACATTGGAACAAAAAATGAAATCCAAATTTTAAGTAAGTCAAGAAGATTATGTACATGCTTTGAACTACATAAATGGTAAAAAGGAGTCACATTCCAGATAGGTATGTCAGTCCAAAGAGAAGTCCAGAAGCAAGTTACATAACTTTTTATCACGTCCAGCAAAGGTATAATAAAACAGTATGCAAGGTTCATCTGATGGGATGCTAAAAAACAAAAGGGAGGAGGGATAAAACATGTTTGGGCCATCATAAGACCAGTTATCTGCATCCTCTTTAGAATATGCTGCATATATTAGGTGGTGTTGACTAGAGCTAGTATGAAGTTACAGTCTAAGCTTCTGGGAAGAAGGGAAAAAGCAGTCTCCAAGGGAATCAATCTGAATAGAGTTCTCCACATTTTCAGATTTGACACGTTTGTAGCAAAAGCCAGTGCAACTTGCTTATACTAATCATCAAAATGCAGACACAGTAATAGTAGAATAGTTCATTTTTCCTACAGGTGCATTTGATTTACTAGTTTACACAGACAAAGACTTGGAAGTTCCAGAAAAATGGGAGGAGTCCGGTCCACAGTTCATTGCTAATTCAGAAGAAGTCCGTCTTCGTTCCTTCACAACTACTATACACAAGGTCAGCAGTATGGTGGCCTACAAAAAGGATTCCCTTCCTTGACTGGACAGATGTCTCCATTGTATATAAGTTGTCTTTCTGTAAACCGTCATAACCAGTTGTAATCATAGTCTGAACAGATCCTGGGGAATCTATTGTAGACTAGTTTGAATAATGTCAACAGCAAAAATGCACTTTGTACATATCTGCATTTGATGACTGGGGCCTTGCTGCTTATGCCACAGAAACTTTTTACCTGGAGCTGCCTTCCCAGTGCATGCTTAGTCGTTCCAGATTTGATAATGAAAACACCTTTCTCTTCAGCCTGGATTAAGGAATGGCAACAAAGAAATTCCTCAAGAACAAACAGGAAAATAGTTGGATTTTCACCTTGAACCACATTTGTGGAGAAATTCTGTGTGGATGTATAGGCTAACAATCCTGGGATCTGTGTTTTTCTTTCATTGTGGTATTTGCACAATATAGAAGCTGCATAATTTGAGGGGGGAGAGTTACAGGAACTACTGTGTCTAAACAGCCTGGGGTTTTTTCTTCCTTTTGAACAGGAATGCTTTACTGTAGATGTCAGTCAAATTTCTTTTTTAATGTTTACATCCTTTTGTAGAATAAAGCCTTTAAAATTATGAATACTATACTTGAGTTTTCAAATCATCTTTCTCTTAACTGGTGATGTATGGGGACTGTTTCTTGTGCTTCTAATCAGCACATCTGCTTGTCCTGTGTGTCATAACTAACAAAACACAGCAGCAATTTAGCAACAATATCAAATGTTAAGGAAAGAATATGTCTTGTGGGGGGGGGTAAATACTTGCTACTCTTCAATGGTAAGATAGATGTTAGAAAGTGAAGAAGTTGATAATGCTTTGCACTGAAATAGTGTTTTCAGTGCTGATTTTTTCCAGCCTATTTAGGGAATTTATATACCTTCCCCCCAGAGACCTGCTTGAGGTGACTCACCAACGAAAACTATCATAGAAGCAACCACCAGTACTCTTCCTATACTGCAGATGCAGGCTGAGAGACTAGCTTGCAAAAAGGCATTATTGTTTAGCAGTTAAGAGTTTTGGGACAGGATCTGGGAGACCCCGGTTCATATCCCCACTCTGCCATGGAAGTTTGCTGGGTGACCTGGGGCCATGCCAGTCATGCACACTCAGCCTCACCTACCTCACAATATTGCTGTGGGAATAAAACGGAGCAGAAGAGAATTGTGTAAGCTGCTTTGGATCCCTACTGTGGAGAAACAGAGGGTATATAAATTAAGTAATTACGTAGCAAGGTCTTAGTAGAGGAAACAAGGAGCCTAGGGACCTCCCAGATAATGGCTCACTCAATAACTGTCTATACCTTTGCAATCTAATTTTAAATGTTTAATCAAAATGGTCTCTAGTCTACTTCCGGTTTAAACGTTTCGTCACTCGGACGCGTCCTGTCTCGCTCTGATGGAGACGCGCCAAGACCCGGCTGACGGGAGGGGTCCGAGTTCGTCTCGGACCTCCCCGGGATCTCTGTAGGAGACCCCCAGCCTGGGGAGCTGAGGAGAGCCTCTTCCAAGGCGACGGCCAAGGAATTGAGGCTCACCTTCTTCCCTGAAAGGTACCGTCACCAAGGAGCCAGTATGGCGCCCAGAAACGACTGCCGAAGCAAGCAATCACGATCAAACTTTTAAAAATGCTTCCAAAAGATCTCCAAGGCTCCAAACTGTGAGTTAAGCAAAACTCAGATGAAAAAAGAGAACTGAACCTTGGTAGTAATTGGAAGCACCTAACTTTGACACCAGGCGGTGCCAGTGCGGCGCTACGACTCAAAAAGCAGCCCAGGAAGAACCAACGTCATCAAGCCAAGTCGAAGTGAATGCTGTCCGGAACACGTCTGAAGCTTCCAGCTGAACAAAATCCCAGTCGGCTGCAAATGTGTGCGATTTAAAGAATTATGTTGTCCTCCCTTACCCCTATGAAATTGTTAGTCCCTTGTGTGAAACCTGTGTAACTGTAAATCACTCAGAGCCAGCAGCTCTGCCAGATTGCGCAATCAATAAATCGAAAGGTATTGTTATTTGAAGCGCTGGGGGAGAGGAATTCAAGCACCCCCCCTTTTGAGTAAACTTTTCAAAACTGGTTTAAATCAGAAATAAAAAGACTGTGAGCTAAAATAAACGCATAAGAAATTAAGCAAATGCAAAAACTGCTAAAGTATACAAAGCAGGACTAAATCGCATAACTTTTGTCTTGTTTTGGAAAACTTCTTGTTGATATTATGGCTGGGAGAGGACGGAGGGCACCAGAGAAAAAACTGGTGACTGGAAATTACATACCAATGACTCCCTCCCAGAACCAGGAAAGAATACCATATAGATGGTTATTCCCGGAAGGGCTGAGCTTCAATTACCAGGACAAAAAATATAAAATTGACTCTGCTCCAAAAGTGGAAAAATTTATGGATCAAATGTTCAATACAAAAAAAGCAGAAGGAAAAGAATTTAAAACTGAATGAGAAGGAAGAAGAAGAATCCTGTTCACAGGATTCAACAAGCCAAAATTCCACGTCATCAGAATAATCTGAATCGGAGAAAGGAGCGGCTGCCCCCAAACTCCAGAAAACGAAGAAGCGCAAGAAGAAAAGACTCTAGAACTAAGACAATAGCACTAAAGGCAGTAATTGTGTTAAGCTATTAAATGTGTACTATCATAATTGAATCACATCTTGATAGAACAAGTAATATTAGGTTATAAAGCATTTTTTCAACTATTCAGATCCAAATCCAGTAGATGAAATAGATTAGAATGGTAGTATTCCTTCTCCTATCAAGTAGATATATGTATTAGATCTCCTTTACCCATCACCCATAGTAATAGTGTTAGGGTATTAGTATCCTTTCCCCCATCCCATAATTGTAGTGTGTAGAAAATGCAAAAAATAAAAAAGTCCCCTTCGAGGGGCCCAAAACAAAACAAAATGGTCTCTAGTCACTGTTAGAACCTTGTTGTGTCACACTGATTACTGTACATCAGCCTGGTGGTGCTGGAAAGTGCTGTCAAGTGACAGCTGACATGGCAACCCCATAGGTTTCTCAAGGCAAGAGACATTCACAGGTGGTTTGCTGTTGCCTTACTCCACATCAAGACCTTGGTATTTGTTGGAGGTCTCTCATCCATTTACTAGCCAGGGCCAATTCTGCTTCGTTTGAGATCACGCTAGCCTGGCCTATCCAGGCCAGAGTAGCCTAGCAAATAATAATTATAGGAATGACAACCTGCACTGGTAACTCATTCTGCTCTTATCTAAAGCAGTGCTATTGCTTGAGGTAGAAAAAGTAATACATGTACCTGTTCGTCACTCCCTCCACCACTCCCTGCAGCACAAGTGTAACTTGGATTCTCTTGCAGATGTAAAGGATTGGTACAAATTGCCACTTGAGCATAGGATGTTGAGTAAATTCTGCAGAGACAGTATTTTCCGTCTTAGAACTTCAGTTTCAAGACACTTGCTGAAATTTGGGAGTATGGCAGTTGGCAGTGTCAGAGTAGAGACATCACCCTGCCAACAAATGTCCGCATGGTCAAAGCAATGGTATTCCCAGTAGTCATGTATGGCTGCGAGAGTTGGACTATAAGGAAGGCCGAGCGCCGAAGAATAGATTCTTTTGAACTATGGTGCTGGAGAAGACTCTTGAGAGTCCCTTGGACTGCAAGAAGATCAGATCAGTCAATCCTAAAAGAAATCAACCCTGACTGCTCCCTGGAAGGCCAGATAATGAAACTGAAGCTCAAATACTTTGGCCACCAAATGAGAAGGGAGCACTCACCGGAGAAGACCCTGATGCTGGAAAAGATTGAAGGTCAAAGAAGACGGGGACGGCAAAGGATGAGATGGTTAGACAGTGTCATAGATGCAACGAACATGAACTTGAGCAAACTTCAGAGGACGGCGGAAGACAGGAGGGCCTGGCGGGAGCTGGTCCATGGGGTCGCGAAGAGTCGGGACTCGACTGTGCGACTGAACAACAAACAAAAAGTGTCAGAGTGCTCTGTCTGACAAGCTATGGGAGAAATTCTTAGTGTCTTACATCACTGACTCCATTTTGGATGCTAAATTTCCGTGTTGGATGTTAACGCTCCTAATAAAGATCAGGCCTGGGCAAAGATGAGTCTTTGCACAGCATACAAAAGGGAATGACTGAAGGAATCAAAAGGAACATTATACAGTTATTCCAAATACAGCCAAGAAAGCATTTTTACACCTAGCAGTTAGTCTGATCAGATCAGCCTCAACAAAGAAAAATTCCAGGCACCTGTGTTGACCCAAAGAAACATCTAGAAATAGAGTCCATGTAATAACATTTAAGATGAAATGACAAAACAGCATGCAAACTTTGAGTTCTCAAGGAGTCTGAATGTTAAATGGGGGGGGGAGAGAGAAAAAATGCTTCGGGCCATGATGTTGAGGCCTTTTGTTTCTGTTTGGAGAATCCTGAAGACTTCGAAGGCATTGGGGTGTGAGGAAAAGATACTGTGCATCCAGATATGATAGTTGAACAGAATCTACTTCTTGTAAAATGTTGGCTGGTTTGTAAAATGTATGGCTGGTACTGGTACCAAAACCCTATTATTCCTCCAAAGAACCGAGTGACCTTTACATTATACTGTTCAGGAGGCTCTGTATAGCTTCAGCAGTAAAACTGCATCACAGGCCTTCATACTGTTCTAAAAGTAGCCAAGTTAGCACCACTTTTTTTAAAAAAAGGATGGGGGGGGTTAGTAAGGTGGGAAATAAGAGACCAGTTCACCTAATGGCTATTATTCACCCTGGCTTCTCCAAAGGAACATACAGCAGTGCCAGTCTTTTTGAAATTCTCTGAAATGGTCAACAAGCATAAGGAGAGGTGCACTAGTTAAATGGCTGATCAGGATCCTTTGTAGGGGAAGTGTCTTGCAATCATGACTATTTGTTTCTAGGCCAGATTCCAGGTGCTGCTAAAAGGGTTTGGGAGCAGGATATCTTCTCTATCACATTTTAATGGTGACTTTCATTCAGTAAACCAAAAGCCACATACACAATTCTGCACTGCTCCCTTACTCTGAGTCTTATGGGATAGATTAGGCTGAGAAAATGACTGGCTCAAGGTTAACATTTGAGGACTGTAGCTCAGATCTTTTCAGTCCGCTAACTCTTGCACTGGGTCTCAAAGGAATACTCTCTTACCCAAAATATCACCTGCATAAACAAGCATAATAAATTACATCAGAGGCCCTACTGTGCCCACCAGTGTTGTCTGAAGTGGGCAGGTAATGACAGGTACTTCTCCCTTGTGGCACCCGTCTTGAAACTGTTGGCAAAGTAATTAACACAGCAGAGGTACACTGCCTGATTAAAGTGTGGATAAAGTCTTTATCAGGAACTGATATACTTGATAGCAAAGAGGAGGGACAAGAGATGGGGTCCTACCTTCATCACTAGATGAGTGACACTGAGCCTGGAACTTCTGAGAAGCAGGATATTACCCTAAGAGCAGCAATCTGGAGAAGGAATACTTAACAGTAGAGAAGGTGCTGACCACACTATCCTGTCTCTTCTTTGTGCACCAGATATTGCATCCTGTCTTCCTGTCTCTTCTTTGTGCACCAGATATTGCTTCTTCCAAGAACAATCTACCTCTGTCCACTGAAACATTAGCTGAGCTTTTGGCATCTGCTTAAAACTTTTCTTACACTTTTATTTCAGTCATGATTATTTCCTACTGATTGTATCATTCTTTCTAGATGAATACCATGATGAACTTGGCTGGTTTCAGAGATTTTATATTCTGCCTTTTTAAATATTCTTGGTGCTAGGTGTTGCTAAAAGTGTTTGGGAGCAGGATATCTTCTTGGTGCTAGGTGCTGCTGTTTTTTCCTTTGATGGCTTCCCCTCCATTTTTATTTTTATCCATTTTAAATGTTTCTTTTTGTGTGGGATATAAATATTATGTATCTAGACTTCAAAAATAGTTTTACTAAATTATTCAGCAAAAACCTCTAAATAAACTTGGTATAGGATAAGAATACACTCTCCTAGACTGGTAACTGTTGAAACAGGAAGGAAAGGTAGGAGTTAACAGTTCTCACTGGAGGGGGGGTGGAATCAGTGAAATTCCCCAGGGATCTGTTTTGGACCTAGTGACTGGGCAGCCAAATTTGCAGAGACTACCGGTTGATGAAAATCTATAAATGATGCAAAGGGCTCTGAAAGTATCCAGCTTTTCCCTGTCCATAAGAGCCACTGCATATTTTATTTATGTGTGTGTGTATTCTCAACTCATACTTGCTTTCCAAAATTACAGATGAAGAGCTTAACAGCATTTTTTCTATAGCTGATGTAGGCAGGCATAAGTCTACTAAAATCTTCCCTGCGTTGCAGTCCTTGCTTTTTCCTCCAGATGGCTGTATTTCTGCACATGCTGCTTATTTCTGGATTTTGTTTTGAATACTCAGTCATCTAATTGTATTTCTACTTGATATGATTATTCTCGGAGTTTCATTATTGAGCTCAGGCAAACATTAATTGCTGAATGTAAGTTTTCCATCTCAATTTAAAGAGTAATAAGCTGCCACAGCAGAAAATTCTTAATACAACGAAAAACATGCTTTATAAATTTTGTGAAGAGAGATGATGCTAAGAACATTGTGCTATCAGATCTAAGATGAACTGAAACTATTCTATAACAGTTTGTTCCTGAACTCAGAAAGGAATGGGAACCAATACAAAGTATAGTCAACATCCAATAAAACAGTGTGCCTGTTGTAGTGTCACATGCTGAACTGCAGTCATATATATGAATTAAGTTTAACATTGGCATGGCTTTGATTTATGCTGTTTCCACATTGGATTGCATCATTTACCGAAGCCTATTTTTATTTATTAAAATATTTATACTCCACTAGTCCTCTTGTCTCAAGGTGAATTAATTTCCCTTTCCCACCAGCACCTATCCCTGAGTTATAAACAGCCTCATTCTATGTTCTCTCAGAAATACGTTCCATTGCCCTTGCTCTTTTACCAACAGCTCAAAAGTACACAATGCATAGGTTTATTATTTATTATATGTGAAAGCATAAATTAAATGGCTTTCCTAAATCAAGTTCCCGTGTTTGTAAGCCATCCAAAAATTAACAAAACTAATTTTAAGAGTCTCTGCACACCAAAGTAGTTAAAGAACTGAACTCACCCTGCCTACTACTAGATGGCCAGAGAGTCTAAAGTAGGAGAAGGCAAAGTCAACCACCCCCTGGGAGAAAAGAGAGAACTCAAGGGTGCAAGGGGGAAAAAGCACTTGTTATATTGCAGACTTTATCAAAATTTTATTACATTCCTTATTATAGAGGACATCAACAGTGAGCTTCCTTGATTATTTCAAGGAACAATCTTAACTTAGATTCCAAGTATTCCCACAACTGTGGTGGAAAAGTAAATTCTGAAAACCCTCCCCAAAACTAGTATTTGGGTTACAAAGCGTCCACGTGGTCTTCACAGGTACATAATCAATAAGGAGAGAGGTGTTGCAACTGAAGATCCTCTTTTCTGAGCTCTTTTCTTCAGTAGCCTGCACTCTACGTAATGCAAAGGACAACTTTTAAGTCACAGCTGGGATATTTTCCAATTCAACTAAGAAGTCTAGTTGCTCTTTCACCTGTGTTCTCATCATTTCAGATGGAACATAACATAGTCCCAGGAATCTTTGAAGAACAAATGTACATCATGGAGTACAATCTTCCAGAACATCGGCTAGTGTTCATAAAAAAGTTTCTGAAATACAAAAAATACACACAAGTGATTTTTATTAAGAAGTACCAGAGTCAAGTCCAACACATTGGGAAACAACTCACTTGAAAAAAACTGGTAGATTATATTAATAGATTTTAAAGGCAAAGATAATTAATTGCACTGAAAGAAACTTTATGGAATACTTTTTTTGTAACTGAAACAGCTTCTCATAGACAATCACTATTTTGTGACTGAAGGACGGAAGAGACACAAGATCTAGTAATGATTTACCTCATAACTAGGCATTTTGACCTTCTCTGTAAGGTATCAGTGATGGCCTCCAGCTGAATGTGGGATTCTAAAGATTTGCAAATTGGAATCCTATATATACTGTTTGGCTTTAATAGAGCTTTTGTGTTGCCAACTGCTTAGCTTTCACCATGCCAAGAATGACTGTGATGTTCAAAGTCAAAATTAAAGGTCTAACATCAAAAGTGTTTTCTTCACTTCCCTTTGTAGTATGTGACTACATGCAAGCCATTTATATTTATACAATTATATCCCACTGTATAGAAGACCTTTGTTCCAGCTGCATTTTTACAGATATCTAAGTCTACAAAATACTTGAGCAATATTGGGTATGAAAAGCAGAGTTACTGATCTCTCCAGACCTGTTTTACTCTGTCCAAAAGCAGATACTCTCCAGTGTCTCAGAGGTTTTTCCCAACGTTGCTACCCAAGTTACTTTCAATGGCCAGGACTGAATCTTCTTTATGAACTTTACGCTACACAATTACTTCTCTTCAAGCTCTAAATCCTAGGATTCAGCTTGATGACACTGATTTCTATCATTTGCATTCTTCAGTACTCCTTGTTAGGTGCTTCACTTGTCATTCAGAAGGAATTCATCATGGAAGCAGGACCCTTTGGATTGTTATAGGAAACCTTTATCTCACATGATGTTAATAACATAATGTACAAACTAGTTAATAAGATACAAGAAAATGTTGCAACAAGAAATGTAGTACAGGAAATCACCAAAAAAATTCACAGAAAGATGGTACCACAGCACTCACCTGAATCTAGTTCAAATGCCGTATGAGCTGGTTGATCCCATCGCCTCGGAATCCAGGATCACCAATTTCCTTGCGGAACCCCATTTTATTACGAGCAGCATGACGAGCCACTGACAGGTGGAATGGCCACAAAAATTTATTGATTTCGCGAAAATGATTCCCAGCTGAGTAAATTTCATGTATAAGATCTTCCAGACAAATGATACCATAATTTCCTAAAAAGAAATTTAAAAAAATTACAAGCTCAAATGTCAATACATTGTATCACTAGCCACATAACCACCTGCCATTACAACTCTGCTACATTGCCATGAGGGAGGGGAGGCAGCATGATATAGCCCAACGTCATTCGATCTCGTAAGCTAAACAGCGTGGGTACTTGAAGGGAAACCACCAAGGAAGACTGCAGAGGAAGGAATAGCCTTCAAAGCCCCTTGCTGGGATTGCCACGTGTTGGTTGCAACTTGATGGCACTTTACACACACACACACAAACAGTCATGGACCTCAAGCTGCCCCAGAGTTCCAACCCATTTAACCGATGTCCACTTACCTAGATGCTTTTCAATCAAAACATTGTCTGTAAGAGCAAGCTTCTTGTTGTTGATTTTGGCATGGCCTCGCTTCAGGATCAGCTCTCGAATAGATTTCAGGTTGGGGTATCTGCATAAATACAAAACTGGTGATTCTGCTGTTGGGAGAACAAACACTGCAAGAATCTCAAGAAATGGCAACTTATTTAGAGCCACAACACTGGAATTACTCAAGCAATTACCTGGCAGAAGGTTTTCAAGTCCTGATTTGCCCATCTTCAGTACAGGCTTTTCTCCATGGGGAAAATACTAATAGTAATTATCTGTACAGGCTGATTAAACTAGACACCAGATACTTCTGAAGCTCACATTTTCTTCTTTCTAGATAACTACCTTCTTTCCCTTTGTCTTAACTTTTCCACAAACTTCTATGAGTCTGCAGCGCCAATAAAAATATATATATACTGGACCATCTTGTAGCATAAGTATGTAGCTCTTCCAGTGACATTGTCCTCCATTATGCAAAACGGGAAGACAATAACGGGGCAAAGGGGAAAGTTAATTATTGGGAAAGAGAAACTTACAGATCAATGTATTACAGTGGCAGGGATCTACAAGCCAGAGTCCTCTGCAAACTGGAGAGAATTAAGGGGAGGGGCCAAGTTTCATTCTACTTTGAGTTATGATTTTTCATGAGGCTGCTCCCACTTTCTGCAAATGTTCAGCTCTAATAATAATAGCCATTCAGTATCAGCTAAACCTTTCAGATATGTCAAGCAATTACCTGAAGTTGAAAATACAGAAATAGGCAAAAGCCACAGCAGAGGGATGACTGTTTGCTAATACCATGTCTATTTTGTGACCCTGCCATGTTTCCTCACTCAGATGCAGGATTTTCTCTCTTTTTTTCTTCCTTTCTGGCTGAGCAGCCCTTTATCTATTTTCTTCTTTTGTTAAGGTTTATGGCTGTCCCACCCTGTCACAGTATTATATTCTGAAGCTGGCTCAGCCCAGGAACTTGAGGGAAGAGACAAGATCACCTCTTTAACTTAAACTTCTGAAAATGGCACACAAGAGGCTTTTTAAAGTTCAACAATAAAAATATTTTATTCAGCTTAAAGGGGGAAAGGTCAGTGAAATCAGGGGTAAAATGTCTGAGGTAAATCAATAATGAACTCTAAGGTAACATATTATAATTATAAACTCCAGTTCATATGTTTCCAGCAAGTGAGAGTTTAAAGCTTTTCACAAAGTCTTAGAATCTTAGAGATGAGAGGCTTTGGTTTCAGTGTTTCCTAAACACTCCAGTTCACTTTCTTGCGTTTAGCTGACTCTTCAGATTTTAGAAGGCAGGGGATACACTACCAAGTACTCAAATTCCTTCTCTAAACACACCATGGATCACTTCACTCTTTAGAACTATCTCCCTTTCAACTGGGCAGAGAATCTCTTCCCTAACTAGGTAGGGAATCTATTCTGTTTTCCTGGCCCAAATGGGGTCTTCACTGATCCACCCACTCCTCCTTGCCAAGCGTCCCAGTCCTCAGTCAGTATGCAACTGTTTTCAGTCAGAGCTAAATTCTCCTTAGTCAGAGCTAAACCTTCCACAGCCAGGGCTAATCTCAAACTGAGTTATCTTCAACAGTCAATTCCCAAGTCTTTCTGCTCAACTGACACAAACCAATCCTATGAGCAGCTTGTCACTCAAGACTCTCTGGCTCTGTGTGGCATTAACCATTCACAGACAATTACATGCTTATACAGCACTTATGAGCTTTTATAGTGCAGTCCATCACAGATGTCTATTTTGCACTTACAGTATGTGTACCCTTTAAAGTGGTCCTCTCCTACTTCAAAGGTAGTTGTGTATGCACTCCACCAGAAATTCCACATTCTTTGTCTGTCTGAGAACTGACTCTTAACATAGACCACATAAATGGTACAGCAGCCACCTACTGACTCAATTAATATATGCTGTGATATACAACCAACTCTCATGTGCTAGCCCAGACTTACGATGCAAGCAAGCAAGGAACAAGACAGAACACCTATGTTAAAGTAACATGAAGAACAGAATCCGGAGAATGGGGAGGATTCATCCAGGTTTTTCACAAGAGCAAGACGAAAAGTTTATACTGCAAAGCTACACATAGGATTACACTTTGAACGACTGCAGTTCACAGCAGACAATATCTACACCACTACTCACTAAGCTGCAAACTTAAGACTCTGTGTGGCCCTAACACTTTCAAGGGCAACAACACAGAGACATATACTCATTTTTCTGAAGCTCACTAATAAGATGTAAAAATATATCTAAGTAGTGCTCTTCGAAGTAAAACTGTTTTCCCGACCCATTCCTTTATATGTGTTCATACTACTTCACAACTCTACCACTGTTCACTCCAAATGAAAGGCATACTAACCCCCAGGCCACATAAGGCTCCACAATCCGCAGCATTTTCAGTGATGCTGGTGACAACTTGACGAATGTGCCACTGTAAATCTTTCTCAACCGCAGCCTCTGTATGACGCGCAGAATTTGTAGACTCACCCCTTTAATTCTGAATCAAAGGAAAAAAATAAACATCAGTTACCAAATCTTCTACCTTAGTGATATGATCCTGTATACCACAGCTTAATTACTCTGCTTCATGCTAAAGGGGTTCCTTTCAGAACCAACCTATAGACTGGAAAATACGAACTGTATATGTAATCTTGATATATTATCTCAGACTCTTTATAAAAAGGAAGGCATCCTATTTTTATTTAGTGTCCCATTCAATTGCCAAAAAGCTGATCAATTCAAGTCATCCTATTTTCCATACAGCCAGCAAAAATCAGAAGCAAACATGAGGGATAAAAGCCAGAGGGGGAAAAAAATCAGTAGATTGGTGATAATGAGCAGCTCCTTACTCAGCAATCCGTACAACAAATGCCAGCTTGTGTCCCTCAGGCAGTACCATCAGTCCAGGTTTGTGTTCCATGCGTTGCAGGCGGACATTATCTCTGCGTTTCCGATGAGAGTCACGCACAAATGCCTCAAGGCGTTTGAATTTAATCTGTTTTCCTCCTCGATGCTAAAATCAAAACATTTTAAAAGAAGCCAAAGCTTTATTTTAGTATACTAGTGCACATTAGATAATTACAACAATGTCTGAACTTGAAAAGCTTTAAATGATACTAATACTAAACATGTGCATAGCACAAGTAAAGCGAGATGTGATATACAGAATTCAGAAGTGACACAATCTCAGCCCAAGGTGCTTACAATTTATATTATACTGCGCGAACCAGTGGGTGATCAATGATCTGACTACAAATGGGGCAGGGGGGTTGTAGATGAAAAGCTAGGCCACTAGATAAGATGGCATTTTGTTTTCTGAATTAGCAAATTCAAACATTCCTTGAAAATGTTTAGTCAAACACATCAATCTCTTTATAATGCTACATCCTGAATACTCAGACCAAAAAGTCAAGGGTTCCTTTACATCATATTAAATAAATGTAGCACTGTAATTCAAGCTGGGAAAATGTGTGATAGATAGATTTTAATGAATTCCACTGAACTATTTAGATGATCTTTTATTCACTATCTTCTCAGTAACTACTACTGACACTTGCTTCTAGCTGAGATTACTTATTCCTGTAGGTATGGGATGAGGCACAAAGGAAAGCTATATGACAAAAAAGACAGGGTACGCTAAAGCAGAAAGGAATACAGAAAGAAGTATTTTCTAGCTCTGATGCCAACCAGCGTTTATTTGAGCCTGCTTCGGCAGGGAGGGTGGGGTATAAGTTGAATAAATAGATAAATAAAAATAAATAAATATAAAACCCAGTCATGACTGTAGGTCAAGCAATACACCCTCTTTGGGATCACCGGGATCAAGTTTTCTAAAAATGTTAAGCTGAATATTAAAGAATTCATTGCAAATTTAATGAGTTTCCATAAAATCTTTATTCTGTATGTTTTTTACAGTTATAGCAACAAATTAGTACACATTTTTATTTAGAAAGTATCAAAGTAATAATAGAAAACTGGTTTAAATCACCTTCCTGCCACCCAATCTGTTCTGCTTTACTACCAAGAATCCCCATTCTGCCATGGAAGCTTGCTGGGTAACTGTTGGCCTGTCACACTCTCAGTCAAACCTACCTCACACGTTGTTGTGAGGATAACATGGAGCTGAGGACAACAGTGTAAGCAACTTTAGGTCTCCACTGGGCAAAAGGCAAAGCATCATTCAAATAAAATAAATAAAATAATAAAAAGGGATAGAGGAAAATATCCTAAACAAATATCACATCAAGATTATTTATACAAGCTTTTTAAAAAGCGGCTGCAAGGATAACATCTGACAGAGACAGTAAACAAAAGTCTGTTCCAAATTTAAGCCCCAGTTTGAGAATGGCAGAGAGCAGAACTTCAGAGCCAGGATTACTGAATTAACATGCAAAACCGTGTAAGATGCCTATGTCCTCCATACCTTTCTCTTATCTAGCAAAGCCTGCTTTGCCTGGGTAGCTTTGATTGCCTGATAGGCCTTTCTTTTCTTTAGCAGGTTTTCTGGAACCAATGGTATTTTCCTTTTAGATCTAAAAACAAACAGCAAGATCATCATAAACATTTACTAACAAGCTACTAAAAGTGGACAGGTGGGGGGAAACCCTAAAGTATACAAAAACATTTAATACAAATGTTAGAATCACCTGTCCTGTATACAGCTCTTTTTAAACCGATAGTAAAACTGTCAAATTGAAGTTAATTGGATATTTCCATACTTCTGGAATATCAACAGAAAGCAGGGCATCTAAAGCTCCCTCTAAAGCCTTCTAAAGCTCCGTCTCAGTGCTGCCCCTTTACACACACCTCAACAAGGCCCCACTGCACTTCAAGATGTAGGGCTTCGCTCATCCCAAACAATATCAAATATACACAATTTTTCGAAGCAGCAGCTGCCCTCGCAACACCCTGTTCTTCCGCCACCGAACAGCCACAGCGTAGCCATACGTGGTTCTCCTCTACCTCTGACCGTCCCGGCACTCCACAAGCCCCTCAGAAGCCCACCGCAACCCACCCTCGCCATGGATGGCGGCGGATTCCCCCGGGCCCTACTCGCTCCCGGAAAAACTCACTCGGGTTCCGCCATGTTTCCTCTCCCCCAGGCTTCGGTACCTAATTGCAAGCAAAGGCAGAGCGGAAGGAACGGGCGCTCCGCCCAGACGCATGCGCGCGCTGACATCCGGTTGTAGCTGTGCTGGCTTTCGGTGCCGTCTCTATGGTTAGTGGGTGGGCTCCAAAGAATTTTGTTTTAACGAGTGTTAATAAGGTTGAGGTCAGACGATTCAGTTTCTTGTACAATAACATGAAGTCCTTTTGTTTTTCCCAATTCAGTTTTTTAAAACTATACCTAATGTATCTGTAACAGCGTTCCGTGCGCCTTGGTGTTTAGTCATGCCGGCCACATGACCACAGAAACGTCTTCGGACAGCGCTGGCTCTTCGGCTTTGAAACGGAGATGAGCACCGCAACCCTAGAGTCGGATTCGACTGGCTTTCGAGCAAGGGAACCTTTACCTTTAATGTATCTGCACGGAGGCTTTCATTTACTTTGAAGTAAGTCCCACTGAGCTTTAGAGCTTACTCCCAGGTTAGCGTATATCGTAACCTAAGCCTCTGTCTGTTTACGGGGAAGTCTGTCCCACGGAAATCAGCGGCCAACGGCGACTACACAGGTTTGCCTGAGAGGACAAAAGCATAATTGGATGTGATGCAGTTCAGAAAGTCTCCTTTAGAAGGACCACAACTTTAGTCCGCTATGTGGCTTGCTCTTGTTGAAGCCAAGAGTTCTGGATCTGGTACGTGACAGGAGGGGAGACATTCTGGGATCTTTGTGTATGCCGTCTCGAGTGGGCTGTAAATTTAATATTTACTACTAGTCATTCTGAAGCTGACAGCGCTCAGTTTTGGAGCTCTTCAATTTCAGGAGACTTTATTAAAGCAAACACAGAAGAATGTATGAGGGTGCTTCTCAAAGCTGTGTTCTACATCTACCATATTTAGGGCTACACATTTTACAGTGCACTTTTATGTATATTTATTCAGAAGTAAATCCTGTTGAATTTAAAGGGGATTGGAACCATATAGAGTAATGTTATGTGTATTTACTCAAAAGTAAATTATATTTTGTTCAAACGGTTTACTTCCACATATAGATGTGTTGGATTGCAACTAAGTTGATTACTCAAGCTGAAACTAAATCAGGACAAAACAGAAAATGTGGTCAGGTAGGGAGCAGAGCAGAGAACAGGGACTCGATCTGTGCTAGGCAGGGTTGTCACTTCTGGAGGCTCAGACTGGCCATCTAAGTATGCTCTTGGAAGTTCCATGGTTCCGGGTGACCAGATAACAGGTGGCTCGGAGTGCATTCTTCCAGCTCCAGCCTTTCCTGGAAAGGTGGGTTGGGCCAGAGTCACACAAGCCTTGGTAGCATCTAGGTTGGACTGCTGTAGCACACTGTTTAAAGATGTTTCAGAACCATCAGCTGGTCCAGAATGCAACTTGTATGTTACTGCAGGGCCAACTGCAGTGAGCACATCGTGCTTATTTTTCCGCAATTACACTGCTTGCCAGTTTGCTTCTGGGCACCATACAAAGTTCAGATGATAATTTAAATACAAGCCAGTTAGGGTTTTAAAGGTTATCTAGCATTTCACCTCCACCCACATGTTCTGGCTTGTGCTCTAAGGTCAGCCAAGGGTTCTTTACTGCTGCAGCCCTGGTTCAGGAAGTTCCATAGGTGGAAATCCTCACAAGGGCTTTCTGAGCTGCTGCTCCCACTTCTGAGACTTTTTCCCCCCCCCCCCCCCCCCCGTGCATGCTGAGAAATGACACTTAGGAATTCCATGTGGAAATGCTCTGCAACTGTAAGTACTCCACCCACTGCTGTTGCATAGGGCTCCAATCTTGCAATGGTTTCTGGGTCAGCTGGTCCACCTAACATAGTGGGGCAGGTGCCAGGCCTGTCTCCCACCTGGATGGAGGGGGTGCCCTAACAAAGGAATTTGCTAACAGCCAAGTTCAGGGCTGCCAGCATCCCTGTCCCCCCAACATAGGACGTGGTCTCAGGTATATTTCCTTGTGTATATGCCCAATGGCATGGCATGGGTCAGGGTGCTAGGTGGGCAGGCTTGGGACACCCCGTACGCACACATGACTAATCTTGGGTGTGGAAACTGGCATCGCTGAAGCAATGCCTAGGCCAAGGGTTTTGTGGGAGGCAGGTTCATTTCCTGGGCTGGGACAGCCGGATTCCTGCCCCTGCTTAGTCTCCCATTCGGGTTGAGCCTGCAGAGATGGGGTACCTGTTAGGGTTCTGAAATGAGATCCATTAACCACGTGGCACTGACTTTGCTCTCCTTCTTGGGTGTTAGTGCTAAGTGTACCCCTCAGTGCTGCTGAGTGCCCCCAGTGAGCCTCTCCAGCCACCAGAGTGCAACGCTGTGTTCTCTAAATGTGCATGGCAGAGCCTGAGTTCTATGCTGCATGCGCTCCCTACTGAACCAAGGAGCATCAGGCTGGGGTTTATGTAGTCCTGGAGGGGGTGGCTGTGATTCAGTGTGGGGGGAGTGGGGTTGGCTACCACTGGGAGGGGAATGATTGGTTGTGGCTGTGATTGGCATTTTGTGCTCTGCAGGGGCTTGTGAGTGGGACTGTGCTTGGGGGGGGGGGCTGTCCCAGTGTATGGGTGCTTATGAGCTGCACCATGTTTTTTGATGGTGTAAGTTTCCACCAGTCTGGAGGGAGCTTTCCAGTGCTGGAGCAGCTTATGGAACTGGCTAACTCTTGCCACGTCCCTGGGCCTGCCCCTTTCCCAGCCAGTGCAGCAGCTTGCACTGGCACTGCTGTCTGGTGCTGCTATGCTGGCACCCAGCTGGGGGGCAGCTGTGCCGGTGCCTGGTAGAGATATACCAATTTAGCACTTAAGCAGCTCCCTGTGCACGCGCCCCCCCCCCAAGGATTGCACTCTGGAGTCTTTCTCAGCACCTTGCACCCAAGGTCTTTTAGCTGAAGGTGCCAAGAACGGAACTTGACATGCTGTATTTGTAGTGTCTCCCGCTGAGTTGCTGCCCTTCTTTCCGTATTAAATGTATTATATTTCTGTGCCACATTGCAACAAATCTGGAATTCAGAATAGCTTACAAAATATTAATGGAACATATCTGGAACTCTGTAGACTGAGTCCGACCCCTGGTCCATCTAAGCCATTACGACCCATCCTGAGTGACAGCAGCATCAAGTAGAAAGGACTTTCCCAGACTTGTTGCCCACTTGAATTGGAGATGCTGGGGTCTGAACCTTGGATTTTATGTATGCAAGTGCATGCCTTCCGATAGAGTTCTGAGTTCCTACCTGATTAAAAACAATTAAAATGAAGGACAGCAAGATTAGTAAAACAATAAATACCAGCTTCAGTTAAAATAAAGTACAGCAGAAGCATTTGTCTGACCCATCCCTTTCCCAAAAGTCCATGGAATTTAAAAAAAAAAGATTTAGCCGATCAGGCAGGACAGTGCTTAACCCTTTTCTTTCAACTATTTTTCCATCCCAGATTTCCCCCCCCCAATCTGCTTTTCTGCCTACGAGGAGAAGGTATAGAAAAGACATAGGTGGAAAGCAGATTTTATTTTTATTTTTTGCCGTCAAATCACAGCTGATTTATGGTGCAGCCCTAGTGGGATTTTCAAGGGAAAAGACTAACAGGGATGGTGTTTGCCACAGCATTCCTGGTACTCCTTGGTGGTCTCCCATCCAAATACTGACCAAGGCCAGTCCTGTTTAGCTTCCAAGATCCGATGAGATCAGGTTAGCCTGGGCTATCCAGGTCAGGGCTAGAAAGCAGCGATGGAATGGCATTTTTGGTGGAAACCTTCAGTGAACCAAGTGTACAGTTGACATAAGAAGGAATACTGTAATTTCCTCTCCAAAATTTCATCTTCTGGCAAATTTAATCTTGTACCTCCAATTCAGTCTTTTCTCCCCTTCGCTCTACATCGCTTCATTCAGGTAACCTTTTAAAGAAGTGTGAATTTTTCTTTAGGAGAGGAAAAAACTGAGACTAAGCAGCAATTCTAAAGGTACTTATCACAAAGTAAATCCCATGCAACTTTGTGTGAAACGCTTCCATGTAAACACACTTAAGATTATTTCACACAGCTAAAGTCTTAAATCTCTCTACGAGAGAGTTCATTCCTTTGAACACTTCTGAGTCAATGCTTGTGATCCTATGAACACCAAGGAAGTCTCTCTTTTTGTGGGGGGGGGGGCCCAAAGGGGAATTTTTTTATTTTTGCATTTTCTACACACTACATATATATGGAATGGGGAAAGGAGTACTAATGCCCTATCACTATTACTATGGGAAATGGGTCAGGGAAGTCTAAATACATATAATCTACTGGATAAGGGGAGGAAAAACTACCATTCTATTCTAAATCTCCTACTGGATATGGGGAAGGGGTAGAGACTCATGCAAATCACGATCTAAAAAAGCTTAAAAATAGACCTTTTTAACCTATTAGTACAGGTTATACAGAGATTAGTTTGATTATAAAAAGTATGAAGTTATTAGCTTGGCACAATTACTGCCCTTAGCACTCATGCATTAGTTTTAGAGTCTTTTCTTCTTAGGTGTCTTCATTTTCTGCAGTTTGGGAGTGGCCTCTCCTTTCTCCGAATCAGATGATTCTGATGATGAGGAAGTTTGGCTTGTTGAGTCCTGTGAGTAGGACTCCTCATCTTCTTCTTCTTCCTCCGCATCCGTTTTTAAATTCTTTTCCTTCTGCTTCTTTTTTACATTAAGCATTTGATCCATAAATCTTTCCGCTTTTGGAACAGAGTCAATTTTATATTTTTTATCCTGGTAATTAAAACTCAACCCTTCCAGAAATAGCCATCTATACTCTATTCACTTTTTTTGCAGAGAGAGAGTAAGCATCCTGTATAATTTCCTCTTTTTTCTTACTTCGAATGGGATGTCTTTCAAATTTTTTATCTCTTCATTCTTGATTTTTAAGGATTTTCCCATTGTTGACTTTAGCACCAGTTCCGTGGTTGATCGTTTCATGAATTTTAAATAAGTTTCCCCTGGGAGTTTATTTTTCTTTATAAAGCTACCATGAATACCATGA